TTTCATCGTTGGCGTTGATCTTTCACAACGTTAACACATTCTATTCTCTAGGTGATCGAAAATCTTATCCCAATCACGTTAGTGAAAATATGATGGTAAATAATCAAATTTCTAATTAGCGAACCATTTTCACAAAGTTTTCTAGTATCTTTATTTCAGTCTTTGAAGACAGATGTGTGCATTGTACATTAAAAAATGTCAACAATAATTTTTGACTGTCAGTGAATATGTTTTTTTATCTAAATCACGTTATAACTTACTACCAAAGTATTGAGCTAGTGCATATGATCACCTATCATTCTTAGGTTTATCTAGATTATCTTAACAATCATACGTATGCCTATTCACTTAGAAATTTGTTAAACCGCTTGTTTAAAATTACTCAAAAGTTCAAACTAAGCTAGTCATGTCTATATTTTGAAGAACGCATATTTAGGTGTTCTAATATTGAACTGTTGATAGTTTTTACTACACCTTTATTTAGCCATACTAGGAGATATTCTCGAGTACGAAAAATCAAGTTACCAGAGCAACGACCAATATAACTCGCTCCAAAAGTGCAGTTGAATTGATAGATACAGTTGAAGGTGGCTAGTTTAGTTACTTCATATTCCAATCGAGGAATCACCATTAGTCGTATAGAAAACATGACTTGTAGTTTACCAGCATTAAAAGTTCTTTGAATAGATTTTCTTAACTTGTTAGCAATTATTTCACTAGGTGCGTCACTCTTGAATTGCGGTCGTGTATATAAGGGCTTCTTATTTACAGATGAAGAATAGTTCTTTTCTGCTTTCTTAAATTAAGGTGTCATGCAAGGGTTTGAGAAATGTTTTTAACCATCTAGGTAGAGCATGGTACGGAGAATTTTGCATATCAAGTATTGGTCTTAACGGTATTACTATATTATTATTACTATATTACTATTATTCCTCTTGTTATTTCACAAGACAATGGTAATATGAAACCAATTCCTTTTCACATAAATACCCTTTTATTTTTTTCTAACACTTAGTTATGTTGCATAATTCGTTATAGAATAAGATACATTTCTGTTTGCACTCTATGGGAAGTTTCTGAGCAGCTTTAGAAGCTTATAAAATAAAGTGCTATTTCATATTACGTTAAAAATTAATTTAAGATTCTTGTCATTGTAGATGACCATGGTCGTATGCACACGCGTACTTAGTTAACTGCATATCATTTAAAGAAGTAATTCATTCATTTACAAAATTCTTTCATTTAATTTCTTGTTCTTGAAATGAATCGTTAATTTTATTTTCATTATTGTTGTGTCATGTATTCATGATATACATGTGATACTGACCATGTTTACTCAACGATCGTTTGATTTGGTATTTTGTAAACTAAGATGCTTCTGCTAGGTATAGTAACAATGATCATTTTTATTTTAAAACCTAAATATGCCATAATATAAATATTTTAAACGTTGCAGACTGAGGAAATATTCCTGAATCTCAACCGGATGATATTTTGATTTCTATTAGAGGCTAAATAGAAAAGTTATTTCTTTCGACTCTACAAAATGCGTTTAATCAGTCAAATATTTATAGGCTGAAGGATTTCATCATGAGCTGACATCATTTAGAGAACCACTGGAAAACCTGGAAGTACTGTACAGCTGTTCAGTTCCAGTTTGGGACTCCTCACCAGTACGCACCCACCGATTCCTGGGTTTGAACCCCAGAGGGTGTGTACTGATGAGGATTCGCAAACTGGCTGTCCAGTAATTCCAGGTTTTCCAATGGTTCTCTAACTGACGTCAGCTCATGATGAAATCCTCCGACCAATCGAACAAAAATCCCTATAAAACCAATACTCGAAAATATTTATAGGATTGACTGTTATTGTCCTTATTCTTATATGTCTTATGTCAAACTTAACATCAGTAGTAGTATTTTCGATTACAGATAATCCCGTTTAATTAATATATTCTTTTCAAAAATGTTACGTTAAGGATTCTTGAAAAAAATGCTGAAGTGTACTGTTTTCAAGGGCGAAAAAACGTTTTGTGACAATCCTCACATACTTGAGACCTCAGTGTAGTTTCTTTTTAAGTAACCCACATTTACAGATAATAAATTGGTGCATGTTTGACTCCTCTGAGTGCCTTTCTGTAAAGTGTACAAAACACTTGTATGATAAATACTGATCATTAATAATATTAGTTATAAACGCCCAACACAACTCATTGTTGCATTTCAACTAGACCCTGATATTTATTGAACACAATACCTTACATTTTAATCTTTATGAAACCTTTTCAGAAAGTACCTATTTCCCTTATTTCTTTTCAAAGGCAATTAGACAAATAATTTCAATACAAACTTCATTTAAAAGCACTCCAAATAGGTTACAGTTATCTTCCGAATTTTCAATAGCTCACATCAAATTTCAGCATTGCATAGTAATCAATGTTGTGACCACTGATCATTTACATTTCAGGGTTTCCTTCCTGCATTTTTTCATCACTAGTGACCTCTGTTTTAAAATCATTATAAAGATATTCATTCTGCTAAAACATATAACAGTACAAAATTTCATGCATAATATATATTTATAAAATTTTCAGTAATTTGATCTAAAAAATATTTGAAGGTTCTATCAAAATGAATTGGGAGATTTTCATCGCTTGATATCTGTTATCATACATTACTTTTTTCTGATCTAAACAGCAAAATCGATTTTTGTCCCATAAAGAAGTAAATCAGTCCTGTGTCTATATGACTCACATTACTAGAAGAAACAAAAATTTAAAAAAAGAGTAATTACAGTCATTATGGTTACACCTTAATAATATAAACTTTACATGCTCAGTTTAAACAATGAAAGCGAAAATTTTTAAGAGATATCACAACAGGCAAAGCTGATACATATTTTGTACAGATTTGGAAACTTGGAAACCTAGTTGAAAAGAATCGAAAGAATTATCATCTCACAGCCAATTTACTTAGGTTAAGTAGTTTACTTTGTAAATCCAGAGGAACAATTTCAATTTTTAAGTCTTCCAAGTGAAAAAGCTCATTTTATCTCTGCTTCATTCACTGTTTATTTACAAAGGGAATACTTGTTTGATAAAAACAAGGACTTAAAATACATGACTGTGTCACCTTTGTTTCATTCGTGCTATATATTAGTTGTCCATCCGAATGACAGACGTATCTCAACATAAATATACAACCCTTGAGCTGTCTAACACCTAGGTGAGTGCCTTCATCTCTTTTTGTCGTTACAGTAAGACACATGTTACTGCATAATGCAATAAAAATACCTTGAGATTCTCTTCATCCACACTGAAACTTCTTCTACTAAAGTATTATCTCAAAAATACACCACCTATTCTAATTCTATCCCTAGTTACCCAGTCAAAAACACTTAAACATTTCAAATAATAAACCTTAATGCGCTGAAGATAGATATCAGAATAGCTAAACGACCACTGTAGGAGAACTCACTTAGGTTTCATTTACACTCTTTGGCGTTTTCGAAGAACTAGTTTATAAAACCTGAACCACAATTTAGTGTTGCAGAAAACACTCCCTCGAAATTGTTAGTTTACGGCTAACACTTTGCAATACTGAGTGGTGACCATCACTAATTAAGTCAGCTGGACAAGCTGAAGGTGTACAGTCAAGCATTTAGGCTATTTAACATGCTGTCACGTTTCTTACAGTTGTTCGTTAGCGGTTTCTAGTTAGCTAAGGTAGCTAATCGTGGAATAACACTTCGTACTCTGAATGGTCTTACTGTTGTTCAAAATTCAGCTTACTGTGCGTTCCCTGGTCTTCTTAGAACAAATACATTGGCTTTCAGAGGATATATACAAGTAGCAACATAATGCAAATAGCATTTTTTTTCCCTTATACCTTTTCGCTGAGTAAACAGGTTGAAGCAGGAAGTAACATGTAATATTCAAAGTGACATTGAATTCTTCTCCTATAGAATAGTATTCATAAAAACTCGAATGCATATAAATTAATAAACTATCTTATATTTGCATTTATATATTTCAGTATAAATGGCGACAGACAAATATCCCTAATTAAACATGGTATACCAGTTGAGTGAAAATTCTTAAACTGGTCAAAACCAACTGACTGCTAAAGAAATCACAAAAAACATCTAAAATTGCTTGAGAGATTTTCACTAATATAATAAAACTGGGACTTAAAATTACCAATACTGAAACACTTCAAAAGACATATATATAGATAAATGCATATACAAATTTTCTTCAAATTACCTGCCAAAACTACCACCAACAATACAATGCCATGTGCGTCCATACTTCTGATTAAATGTATTCCTTATAGCAGCAGCCACATCTTTATCATGTCTACACGTTGTCATTGCTTTCAAGCATGCCTTTACTGCTTGATCTTGCATATCTGGCGGTAGATTTGTATTTTTCACAATAGCTCTGTGTGGTGACATGATATCTAATAAGAATAATCGGAGTTTACTGATATTTGATAAACTTTATGCTTGTCAGTAAAATATCTGCATGTTATTTCTTTGCATAGAATTTATATATATAGGGCGTTTTCTCTACATTCAATTATAATTGCTGTGTTTATATGAGATTGTGATTAAGTAGATACATAAGAAACACATGAGTAAAAGAAATAGAAAAAAACAGTTATAGAAATAAGAAATCACATGTGTCATCAGCGCATGACTAAAACCTTTTACCAAAAAATTTCTCTGCCTTAATTATGATTAGTAAGCTTCACTAGAGTTTTAATGTTTTACAATGAAAACTATTTCAACGAGATGAGGATTCTGAAAGTGAAAATTTAACATTGAACCTCCATTGTTCGTTCAACTTGAAAAGTTCTGAAATGATCCTTTAAACAATCCGAAATTAGTGTGAAATGCAGTTGATGAATTAACCTCATCACAATTAAACTAGTCTCTTTCTCAAAAGTACTATTGCCCTTTGATGAATACCCGAGGAATAATCACAGTCATGCATAGGTAAATAATGAAGTTTCAACTGACAAGTGAATAATGAAACTCATTTCTTCAAGAAAAATCAGGTAGAACTGAAAATATCGTTCGTGCAGGTCATCATACTTACAAGATGTTCATCAGAGCGAAGCTGCTTACTACTCATCATATGTGATAGTTTCAAATTGGATATAAAATGCAAAGTAAGCCAATTGAAAACTGCTGATTAGTGGATTCAAGTGATCGTGTTATTTATACTAATTGCTGAATACGTACTGACCAATTTGCTTGTCTATTCCTAAACCTTTAAAATCAAGTGTCTAAATGATACAACACTACCCGTGACTAAACTCATTGTATTTTTATCTTGGACATTAAGAATGAATATACATGAAGTTTTTGAAGTTAATATCATATGCGAGATGCGTTAGCTGGAAAGAACACTGTAATTTGCCAGTTCATATATCTTCTACTTCAGCATTACTAGAAGTGTTTTGAAAACGGAACTCCTGAGTAATTAGTCAGTCAGATCCTCTACTTTTCTGAATCCTCACTTTCGTATTTCTAAGTCTTTAAATTCAACTTGAAAAACATACTGTGCGACAAGCAGTAGAAGAAAGTTAATCTTTATGCAAAATTTTCAACTTTTGGCACCAGTGGCCTGAAAATATCACTTTCTAAAGAAGATGCTCATCGCATACCTGTGCTATGAACAGACATTTACAGTGACGAAAATTATGAATATGCATCCAAAGAGGAGATAAGATAATACTAGGGGATGAAATCCTTACCTTACATGTTTCTCATTCATTCATATCTTGTACTGCATACCTAACAAGCTGCATATTTCTGCCAAAAGATGCCTTCTCTCCATAGTGGATATCAGCTGGACAGACATGATCAGCAACAAGAAACTAGGGGGACGAACCAACCAAGAACCTATTGCTCAGAAAATATACCGAAGAAAATGGAGATAGATCAGAGAAACGCTAAGGAGACCTCTGGATGACGTCATGCTATACGCATGAGAGGAAATTGGACGGGAAAGGACGAGTGGGGTATCCAAGAGTGACACGGAGGACATCGTCCGGAGATGAAAGCTTATGGGCGATCGTTGAGGCGGCTGAAAAGAAGTACAAAGACCAGGACAAAGTTTCTATGTTTCTAAGTTTCTTATTGAAGCCCTTTGTTGAACTCGTAACCCAATGGTAATGAATGAATACATTAATAAATTAAAATGATGCAAGCCAGTATTCTTTAGTGTACAACTAGAGGCGAATAACTTTGTAAAGTGTTTGCAGTTAGTTCAGTACTATCTACTCATACGTCTGTTGTAATCATCAGCTTCTGTGAGTTATTAAGGTAACTGATGCATAGAAACACTGAAGTCAGCAATACAAGTCATCGAGTATGAAGCCTTTTACCTAGGCTCTATGGTTTTCTACAAATTTAGCTGAACAAATACTATCTCAAAGCTTTTAATCTGTATCAGTTAGGTAAGAATCCAATGCAAATAATACTCAAGAGTATGTAAAGATTGCTCACTAGTGATAACAGCTAAAGAGCATGCATTATTAAATGAATTAAAAACTATAAATTCCTTATATATTGTGGTATTTTGTAAGTGGTATCAAATATTACTTTGAAACATTTTTCTAAGAATCATTTGACCAAATCACATTTTACGTTTTTATTTTAATATTTAATAAATGACATAAAAGCTTACATTTATAATACAGAAAAATTCCTTAGTTATGTGGATCTTTATTGTATGATTGATTAATATTTGTAGAAAAGAATCTTCACTAGTAACCGTCAAAATAGGAAGTACCATTACAGCAACGCTTGTATCATATGTGACAGTTCTAAATATAAAAATGATAGAGACCATATATGAAGTATAAGGGGCAGATAAGAGGATAGATAATTCAGGTAGTTATAGGTATATGTCACTAATTAGAGTTAAATCACACAATGTGGACTAGAGGACGGGACTGTGGTAAGACAAATGACTGATCAAGAGTTTTTGAGGAATACTGAAATTAAGGCTTTAGAGAAGTAAGCACAGTAAACGTTTAGCAGATATATTCATGCTTTTCCTCTGTTTTCATCTTGGAAATCTTTTTATGTGAAATAGTCTCGTTCTGCTTCTTTCCTCTATAACTTTTGGCTATCCACCATAGTTAATTTATTACTTCTAGTCAGTGTTTCCCTTCTTACAACTTTATCCGCAATGTACTACTTCACATTTTGATAGCACTATCAAGTATTAAAATGAATATAATCTATTTGTACAGACTATCCCCAGCAAAAATGACAAACTGTCCATTTTCTAATTATGCAAATGTTCAAAATGTCCACTTCTTTAGAATTTTTCATTGAGAATAAGTGTAGTATTTTTGAGTTTAGATTTATAGTAGTGTGCATTGCTGGCACAGGGGTTGGGACAATCGCCGACCATGAACATGGTCCGGGGTTCGATATCGCCCCCGACGCAAACCTGATGTCAATGGTCGGACTGCAAAATTTGGGCTACCGATATCGTATGCTGAGAATTCCATACTTGTACCGAAAATACGGTGTGGAATCAAGCTGTAATCAAAAGAAAATAATAAGTTACTATAATAATAGCTTTATCCTGGATAATGTCTATATTTATAATGTACAGGATTTTTAGCAGAGTTTATCTCATGATATTTTCTCTTCGTTCAAGATCTACAGATAAAAATATTACTTGACAATTCTTAGACTGGTACAGTGCTGTCTGACCTGAAGTCTTAACCAATCCGTTATGATACCTCCTCTTGGTCTCCTTTGAGAAATGCGCGACATTCTGCTGAAAGCCAATTATTAGAAGTTCGGCAGTATAGCTTGGGACCCAAGGATATAACCCGAGAACAGTTATCCCATGTATTCATATACGTTGTAACCTATGACTACACCTTTTTGTCAAATTTAGTAGAAACTTGCGAATCAGCAGGTTGTAAAACTTTAAATGCTCAAGAGAGTAAATAGTACCAGTAGCAAAGGCATTTCAATTGATAAGAACAAAATGAATAACAGAAAATATATGCAATTTAATGATGGAGGTTTTTGGTAGCACAAATCTTAAGCAGGCCGCCAGAAGCAGTTACAAAGTGGGTAGAGTTAAAACGGTTACCTAAGGCCTTAGTCTGTCTCATTCGAAATCAAAAAATCTATAACTCTAATCTTACACCATGGTTTTATTTTTGATAGTTTTTTTGGTTTTTCATTGTAACACATTGTAATATGGAATTCACTGCTCAGTTCGATTCATTCCAAATGTTTATCAAAACTGATAAATATTTTTTGTTAAAGTGTGTGCGTAAGTGTATGCTTATACTGTTTTGCATTTCTTAGTCTACAACTAAGTTTTAACTTCATGTTTTTAATTCAGTCACTTAATAGAAAGCGCTTTCAGTCAGGGTGAGAGAAACTTGGTCTGTACTGTACATATTTATGTGCCTACTCGTAACTATGTGCGCAACTCGATATCGTTTAGTTCGATTCTACTCCTACATCGAAACAGAACTACTGCATTCACATGCACATTAATTCGTCCAATCAATGTTCTCAATCTTGGCACACAAAAATGAACAATTTATCGTTTGTTAATCTACATCTGTGTCCACCGATGTGAAGTTAAGCTACTAAAATCGATTGAATCACTCAAACAAGGTAGATAAGCTATAAATTGAGGTTTTTGATAATATCTGTAATACTCTTTGACCGGGTGATTATCTTTAGCGTCTTTGAAAAAGGGCACCGAATTATTTTGTTTTCTTGACAAAATGGATCTTAAAAAAGCAGTAGTTAAAAATGCTGATATGTCAGAAGATATGCAGCAATTCGCTGTAGACATTACGGCTCAGGCTATGGAAGAACATAATATTGAAAAAGATGTTGCCACTTTTGTGAAAAAAGAATTTGATAAGAAATATGGACCTACATGGCATTGTATTGTGGGAAGAAACTTTGGAAGGTATGTATGCTAATGGTAATGTAACATAAATTTCATATAATGTGAATTTTTATTTATTTCATCATTGTGTTACTGGCGTAGAAAGATGTAGTAACCAATATTGAAATTACTAACACAATTATGATCCGTTTATCTTAGATTTTTCGATACCCAATATGATCTTGATTTGCTTATTGGGTAACCAGTCGTGTATATATTTTTAATAAAAAGCAGACTAATGTAGTTAACCACTGTGATAAAGGAGTAAAGCAACCGGATAATCTTAATTTTATTAATTATTCTTAGTATATATCAGCATAAAATGTATTTGAATTAAGCCAACTTCTACGTCGTCATCTCGTCTGTACTCGCACACTTCTATTTTGATTGCCCACTTTCGTTTGGATACTGAAATACAGTTTATCCTATCCATAAAAATGTTTAACATGACTATACAGTTAGCGTACTTCTCATTCCAATGTTATATAACATCTAGAAGTGAAGGGTTGCTTGGTTCAGAAGACAGTCAAGTGCATCTTGTACTAAAATGTTCTTAGTTGCTTTTAGTACTTATACTGAGACAGTATGAACCAGCTTCAACTATAGATGGTACGGATAAGAATATCAAAGGCAGGGTTAGAATGGCAAAACAGACCCTCATTAATTTGAAATCAGTCTGGAAATCTACTGCACTCAGCATACAGAAAATGATTCAGATTTTCAACACTGATATCAAGTAAGTCACTTCCTCTATGTAATTCAGAGACTTACTACAGACTTTCATCAACAGCTGCCACTGTTTCATATTAAAAATCGAATGGCCAGAAGCAATTAGCAACAAGAAACCCTGGAAACGGACCAACCGAGAATCTGTTGCTTCAAAGACATGCAGAAGTAAGAGTAGATGGATCGGACGTACACTGAGGAGACCGTTGAATGACACTGCACGCCAAACCCTCAAGTTGTAGGTAGGTAGAAAACTACGCGTAGGGTATCCGAGGAGGAAATGAGAGGTGATGGAAAATCGTGGGACCAGCTAAACTGGACTGCAGAGAACAGGATGAAGTGGACACGGAATGCTGAAGGCCTGTGTTCCGCTCGGGACCCAAGGGAATGAATAATATTATAATAATAAACAATAATGAATTGGTTATTCATACAGCTTTGTTTAAATTTAACTTAAAATGCTAGAAGTATATAAGTTAAGTGGAGATGAATAAGTAAATACTACTCAGTAAAGGCTTTATACCAGGTAGCTTAAGTACCTACAGAACTTGAAATGCTAATGTTATTTGTAGATATTAATAAAATACCGTAACCCAATACAGCTAGATGTCAGATAATTTTCTTCTGATTACTATGTGTAGTTAGAATTGCTTACTAAATGGTCTTAACTTTCTATTTTTCATGTTAAATTCACTAGGAGTAATTTTTATAAATATAATCACATTTACGTGTAAAAAATAGAATTTCATCTTTTACATTTGTTCATTTTATTTTTATACTTTTAGCTACGTGACACATGAAGTGAACCATTTTATTTATTTCTACTTGCAAAATGTTGCCATTCTTCTCTTCAAGTCGGGTTAATATAAATAGTAAACAAAAAACCTAAATAAATAACTTTTCTTGTAATCAATCTTTGCAAAATATAGAAATATGTTTGTTTCAAAAATCATTCTTTCTAACGCGAAGAAAATTATTCACAGAAATTTGAATATGTTGCCGCAATGGATTTTAGTTAGTGAAAGAATGCAGTATATGGAAAGGTGAATGAAATAATTCTCTCATGAGAAGGTCACGTTGTGATTATAGAGGTTTAGATGGAAAAAATTGGTCATCATAAGTTCCTGTCAAGTTATCGAGTTGCCGTGCAACTGATGCAGTTGAATGATATTTTAGGTGAAGGCAATATTAGAGGACGAAAATTCATGTACGCATAAAGTAGCCTAACGAAATGTCACCTTGGATATTTTTTGATCAATGGAAGGTACTATAAGTTCTGAGAAAAACTGTGCTGACTACTTAAATCTTCTTTCGTATATCATTAAAGCATTTAGATGAGATTCACCTATTCATCTGGTATGATTTGTACGATGTTTTGAAACTTGTTCATCAGTTTTAATGAAGAAATCTAGATGATCAATGGAATGACATTCATAGCATGACTGCAGTAAGCTGAAGTATTAAAGTATAAATATTCTGTAACGGTAAAAACAACATCATCTAGCCTTCATACAAATTAGAACTTACATTGATCTGTTTCATTATAATGCGAATAAGGGGAAGTGGCTCAGCGAAAAGACACTTTTTTTTCTGCGATTTCACTCACTGAGTGGACAGTCACGTTTCTAAATTGTTATTTTGTGTGTGTGTGTACATTCAATTTGTCAAGCATAGAAGAAAAGGGAACCAGTGTGGAATGCCGTTAACTTGATCAAAATATTTCAGAATAGTGAAGATTAATCAGAATGTAGCTAAGTATGTTAAGATGAGTGAGTTTCGACTATAGGTTGCATATTAGGAGCAAACTGGTAATGGGAAGAGCGTGTTGACAAGTACTAATACATATGATGTAATAAATAAAGGAAGCAAATGAAAGGCAGCTAAGGAAATGATGCGGATAGTTATCATTCAAAAATAAAAGACAAAAATAGAAGCGACAGCAAAATATTGATCACAACAAGCTAAAATAAGAAAATGGAAAGGTGTCGACTATTTGAATGTTAGAGGTCTCAGAGGTACAAATAATGCGAAAACATAAAGTTTTGGAGGAAGCTTCTTTCGAATTCGTAAGTGAATTTGAATATCTTTTCCTAAGAGGCTGAGAAACCAGTCTGAACTGACCCAAAATGGCCTCACTGTAGCCATACAGGATAATGTTTCTAGACTCTCTTAGTTAAATCGTGTGCTGAACAACTACATACTTTTGTCTACAGGAACTACACAATTAAGCTGCCAGATTCGATAGTTTATCCTTTTAGATATTGGAAAGTGTCGGATAACAGGAGAATACCAAGAAAGTCGCCTTTAAAGGCAGTTCTCATGTATATCAAATGTTTTGTAGATATATGGCATGTTTTGGTTAGATTTGTGTTTTACGGGTTATCCTATAAAGCTTGGGGAATACCAACTTTCAACTAGCGTCACCCCTTAAAGACAGTGGTTAGGAAGCTCCCCGACCCGGGTTCGATCACCAACCGACGCACATTTGATATCAATGGTTGGCCTGCGAAATTCGGGCTACCAAAATCGCATGCTGGAAATTCCATAGTTGTGCCAAAATACTATATGGAATCAAGCTATAATAAAATCAAAAATAAATTTAAAAAAAGTCTGTTTATGTAACGATTCTGGACTGCAAATTCTTCAGATCCCAGTCACAATGAGTTATTGTCAGTTTTCCTTCGTGAATAACTAGAAACCAGCTGTATACATAATTGCAGTTGTACGCTAAATAAATAAAATCATTGAAAAAGAAGTCTATCCACTGAATTACTTCTTCATAATTCCATATCTACATGGGTATTTTCCAGTGAATAATGATGCATCTATATTCAACAGTTTTGATGAAAAATCTTACTAATCAGAACTGGTTTGATTCAGTTATCATGATTTTACTTCTGAGTGTCAACAATTCACTTTTGTTCATGAGATAAATGACATCTTTACAGGTAGGTATGTGGGAAAATGATCGTTATTTATTAGTGCGTCATGACTTTCTGATTATTATAACCTAAATAGTAGTGACAAATTGCATATCTGAGACATAAATATGACAAATAAACAAACAAGTTTGAATAAAGAAGGAACGAACATATTTTCAGGATAATACGAGCTCGTTTTATTTCGTGGATGCTCTTCAACTGCGTACATCCTAAATAAATCGATTATATGCTACAGAATTGACACAGAAAAGCAATTTGAATATTAATACGACCAACTATTTCATATGAAACCTATAGACGAGGATAAAAATTTTTTTAGGTCTGAAATGGTTGATATCGCAGAATTGTATCACATTTCTCCTACTGCACAGTCAAAGATGTTTACTGAGGATCACACACTAGCATAAAAACGTACAGAACAGTGATAAGATCGACATTCTTAGACCAGACAAAGGTTCTGGCATCGTATCAATGAATCGACGAGACTACATCTTCAAAACGACAACGCTTCTTAGTGATACAATGGGATTCTAAGTGGGGGGGGTCAAAAAATGACGCAACGATATCCTTCGAAAACAAAGTGAACAGGCAACTTAAGGAACTGCCTAAAGAAAGGTTGATTGACAACAGAACCTATAACGACCTCAAAGCAAAGGGTTTAAGTCTACCATTCATGTATATTATTATTCCATTATTATCTCTTTTAGTTCCTAAAATAATATGGGGCTTAAGACTCATGTATGGTCAACCCAAGGTCCACAAACCCAGTTTGCCATTGAGACCTGTAATGTCAATGATAAATCAACATGCCGTAAACTGGCTAGGTAGTTGACACAAAAGTTAGAACCAATTCGAAAAGAGTTTGCAGTTCACAGTATCTAGGGTTCCTCCCAATTTTCACAAGAATTAGACCAACTGAACATTTCAGACAAACTTCTCGTAACATGCGATGTTTGTTCGCTGTGTACTATCATACCCATTGAAAAGACAGTGAAAATCATATGCCAGCAATCTGAACTAGTTCGTCTTCCTGAAATGGAACCACGAAAACTGCTACTTCTTTGTACAAAGTACGTCCAGTTTCGACTCAACAAACATCTGTACCAGCAAACTGACGGGGTGGCTATGGGTTCACCTTTGGGTCCTGTTCTTGCGGATACATAACTCATCTTGAACAGACAAGAATGAAGCCGGTAATAGAGATGACCAACTATCAGTGCAGGTATGCTCACGACACTCCATTATGGATAACATTTTATTTTAAGCTTTATACAAACTGTGAGCAATATCTACTATCAAATGTTGACAAACACCATTTGTTTCATTTACATCCAGACTGTTCCAGTATAACTCTTCCACCTAAGGCACTTTTTGAGTCTCTTCAGGATGATACGGCTTTATATTTTGCTTCGAGTGAACAAAAGGATAATTTCGCTCTAGCTCTTACAAAAGCTTAAGCCAGTCTTTTCCAGCAGTTTGATAACTTAGCCCTTCTTCTAGCCTACAGGTTGCCTCCCTTCCTTCCACACCTTCTACAGTGGTGGCGAAATCATTTCCTCTGATGTCTCTAGGATTCATTCTGGTCCTGCCGATTCCCTGGCTGTTGGTAACTTTATGGCCCTGAAGACTTCTGCGATTGGTATTAACGAATTAGTGGTGCTACTGGACGTATCAAGAGTCACGTGAAGTGGTCAAACCCTACATTCCCTCTGTTGCACCACCCTTGTAATTTAGTTTCCTTAAATATATTTTCACTAGTTTCACCTGCGATGATCTTTTAATGGATAGCGACCGGTATAGTGTTCTTAAGTCTGTTTTACCTTCAGCACGTTGTGCCTCAGTTACCAGTGGGTTGTGAGGAAGTGTTGTTTCTTTATAAATACTTTTCTTCACTTCAGCCGCGACTAACCACATTGTACCACTGATGAAATATTGAGATCAATATTTGAGACAAGTCGTGTTGTGGCCAATAAACTGTCCTCGGCGATTTCTTAATAGTGAAATGGAAATCCTTCCTCTTCAGAAAATCAGTTGGTTTGTTTGTCAAATATTATTATATTACTGTACGCTTGGTTGCCGAGCGGAACATAGGGCCTCAGCAGCACATCGTTATCTCTCTCCCTTCTCTGCAGGCGCTTTAAACGGTTTCCAGAATTATTAATAAGCTTTCACGTCGTTAACACACGATCAACTCCATGTCACCATCGGACTCTCAATTCATCACTCATTCACCACTTAGTTTCTCCTTAAGGACTCAGAACTTGATGCCATCCTGTAGTCCTCTCAGCGTGTCTTCGATCCATCTTCATTTCCTTTTGCATATTTTTGGGTGATACGTTCTAGTTTGGCTCATTGCCACCTGTAGTTGAAACAAAGCTGCCTAGGTAACTAAAAGAAGTGACTTCCTTTCTGTTTCTCCTGTTGATAGTGATAGATGTTTGTTGTTGGTTAGGTATCTTCATCACCTCTTCCTTCTCTATTGCCACATGAAGTCTTTTCTTTACTGTCTCTTCTAACGAATAGCTATTCGCTATTAATATTTAGTATTTTGCAAAAATTAGCGTTGCATTGTTCACTTCGTCTTACATAAAGTCTTTAACATAAGATGAGAAACTCTATGAGCTAGAAACAAACTGAACCTCCTGAATGTAATTTTACAAATCTGTAGCTTTTGAAATTTCTGATCAATTTAGTAAGTCCATGGCTATTACTTCACAGGCTCTTACTTTCATGAACACCATTCCAGTGAGTTTAATGACAGTTAACCTTAAATTGCAAAGCACTAATGAGTTCAGCTAATTTATATAAAAATCTCTAAATAACATAAAAATACTTGGACTTTAATTCACTACACAGTAAAGAGATTACTCAGTTCTTGATCACATTAATGAATACGTTTTTATATTTCACAGGTTTGTCTACTATTTAGAGATACGGAAGACCAGTTAGATTTTATTTAATGCATATTGCAAAGTCGCAAGTGAATCATGAGGCATAGAATACTTCTACTGTTGTGTTGTGTTAAATATGTGACACGTGTTGTCTAGGTGATATTC